TAAGGTAATTAGTCACATGCCCGCCGATTTTTACTATAAAATTTGTACCCTTTAACTGCGAACTACTAATTAAATATAAAAAGAAACCCGACTTTATTTAAAAAAATTTTTTTTATATATTTATTGGTATCTTGTGATATTTTTATATTGAATAAACTTTTTAATAAATCTAATTTTATTCATTTACTTTTGTAATTTTCATTACATATCAGATATACAGTAAATATATAAATATATTGTATAAAGTATTTGAAATAAAAAAGTTATTTACGGGATGACACACACACTAAACTTATTTATTTAATATTATAAAAATAATTTCAAGTAATTAATAAAAAAAAAAACAAAAAAAAAAAAACAAAAATATATATATAATTTTAGTGAATAGAATACATGAATGACATACATGCAGTTCGTTAATGAACTTTGTTGAATAGGAACTTGTAAGATCCATCTAATACGTACTGTAATACTCTGAAATATAAAAAAAAACCCCAATACTTGTTTTTATTTCATTAACCAATCGATAAAAAAAAGCTTAAACATTTTAGTTTATATTAATATTTAATAATTAATTGTTAAATTATGGATTTACTACAGCGAATATCATGTTAGATTTATTACCTTCTTTGTATTCATTTTTTTAAGCAAAATTTTGTAATATTGATAATTTTTACGCGCAATTTCATCACACATTTGACTTTGCATATTATTAAGTCGCGAAACTTTTTCAATTATGGTAAGGTGAATTTTAAAATCTAATTTAAGGAACACATATAATACTGGAAATAATTTTATCCAATTTAATAAAATAGTAAAATAGTACCTCGACGCTAACTTTTTAATTTATATTTAGACATTAGATGCATATTATAAAATATTATAAAGAAAGTAGTATTATCAAGGAAGCCTATAAAATAATAGAAGAGAAAAGTATCATGATTATGAAATCAATAGCTGTATTCCTAATACTGTAATATCTGTAATATCGTTCGTTGTTTATGCAAAAGTGAACCCTTATTACTATAAAATTTTATTATGAATTCGAGGGTAATGTTTATTATAACGCGCAGAAACATGCATACTTTAAAAAACAGGAATTTTGGAATTTATCCAATTTATCCAAATGAAAATTAATTTAAACCTCTACGAGTTAGGTTTCTATAAATCTACGGTTTAATAAATGTTTAGGTTTTCCGGTACTTCCGTATTTAACTGTTAATGGGTTCAATTAATACCGTACGTGTAAGTTTTTGCCGATTAATGTTGGCACGTGAACATTCAAGCTAAAGAAGATTATGAAGATTATGAAATATTTGAATACTCTTGTATATCCAATATTAATATTGTTTAAAAAAAGGTTAAAAAGAGGTTAAAAATGGTATATACTGTACGTATTAGGAATTAAAGCAGATCGTGAGACTATAACTGTATGATGATAAGCTACCATTTATTATTATTAACATTAACGCTAATAAAAGATTTATCATCCTGATTTCGTGTATATATAACATTTAATTAGTTATTTTAACTTGGTTAGATTACGTACGTGCGTGCGTACGTGCGTGCACGTAGACTTATTATTACGTACATATTGATATATTTGTGTTAAGATTTAGATTTTTAGTTAGGATTGCATTAAAATTAATACTTTTTGAACGAAAATATATGCATGCAATGATCAGATCAGCGTTATAAAAAAAATTATCGAATAGGATATGTGTCCGAAAAGTCAAGTTTTTCGTCATGCAAAAAAATGGTCTACAACATTTTTCAACTTTAATAATAACAACTTTAATAACAATTTTCTAACGATCATTTAAAGTATTGTTTTTTTAAAATTTTTTATTTATTTATGTATATAGCAAAGAAAACCCTCTTTTTTTTTCCTTTTTTTTTTGTTAAGCGCGGGTTACGATCGCATTTAGCAAAAAAAAAAAAAAAAAGAATAAAGTTGGTTTTTATTTCTAAGCTAATTTTAATTTTTTGGATTTTAATGAAAAATTTGTGAAGAAATTATATGTATAAAAAAAAAAAGCTTATAATAGAAAAAATTGTACTATAGTCATTTTGTTTACAAAAATGAGGAAAAGAAAAAAAGTATAGCATAAGAAAAAAATTAGGATTTTTTTTTTTTTTTTTTTGATTATTAAAAAAAATGTAAGTAAAAATAAAAGGGAAGCGAAAAAAAAAGAATAATAAATTCGAAAAAAAAAAATATTAACACTACTAAAAAATTTGTATTTTAATATGAATAATTACGTCGAATTAAAAGTTTGTGTTTGTGTGACCTACATATAGTAGGTTTTGCTTGAGATTAATTTTTTGAAATGAAAAAAAATATACAAGAAAAAAAAAAAAAGTAATCCCATTTCATTCGAAACCGGTCGAAAAAAATGAAGTTGTTGGTCATTACACATTAACGAATGAATTTTGAACACGTAAGACCGTAAAAAAAACTCGCGTTACTAAAAGATAAAACAAAAAAAAATACACTCCACCACCACCACCACCACACCCAGCCTAAACACGAAAAGATACCAAAAAAAAAAAAAAAAAATCACATGAAAAGAAAAAAAAAAAGAAAAAAAGACATCCAGAAATTTGTATTTCTATTTACAAATATTACAGAAAAAAAAAAAAAAAAATTATTGATCAAAAATATAAATCATATATGAAAGTTATAATTTTTTTTCTTTTTTGCCCTTAAAAAAATTCACCATCAATTAAGACCATGGATCATATAAAAATGAACTTTTTTCAATCTTAACACAAACACATTCATCGATAAAAAAATTCAGATACCACTGCTAACAGTTGGTGGATATTCAAAAGTTGAGGACAGTGGTTGCGCATGATGACGAGGAGTAGTTAATAAAGGAGCTGGTAATCTATTACTACTCGTAAAAGATTCATAATTGTTTGTAGAATGATATTGGTGCGCGAATTGCGCAAATGTTGGAAGTCTCTCACTACCACCAGCTGAAGGTTGTTGAGAATAGACCGGTGAAGAATTATTTATTTGCGATTGACCAATCGGTGGCAACGATGGAGCCATCGACGAAGGTGGTGGTAATGGAGGTGAAGGGGATTGAATATTCGCGGCACCGGAATTTGAAGATCCCGTCATATGACCATTGGAACGATAATAATCACCAGTTTGTGGAGATGGAAGTGATGAATTATTATAGTTATTCGCGTTTTCATTATTATTATTATTATTATTGTTGCTGTTGTTGTTATTGTTATTACTAATCTGAGATTTTGCTGAAAAATAATCATAAGGGCTTTCCATAAGAGGTGAATCTGGTATTGACCGTCGTTCTTGTTCTTCTTCAAAGTTTTCAAGGTTTTCAAGATTTTCAAGGTCTGAAGAAGATCCTGAATTACTTGATCTTCTTGAATTTGATGATTTTTTTGCCATATCACTTTCAACTCTATCATCTTCATCTTTAATTGAAGAATTTGAATTTCCTCGTGTTTTACTACGCCAACTTTGTCGTTTATTTTGAAACCAAATTTGGACAGTTCGTGGAGCCATACCTAACTCTTTTCCTAATTGAATACGTAACTCAGTGGAGGGAAAAAATGTCCTGGCAAATACATCATTAAGAACTTTTAATTGATTTGCATTGGCTCTCTTACGTTTAGCTTTTACCATAGTACCAGAATTTGGATTTGAATGATCAATATAAGGAGAACCAAGATGGTGATGATGATGATGATGTATCTGCTGATAATGTGAGTGTGGAATCATACTATTATGACCATTATGACCACTATGACCACTATGACCACTATGACCATTATGACTGTTATGATGTGAATGAGCACCGAAAGACGGTGGACTATGAATAGGATAAGTTGAAGTACTTGAAGCTCTATCAGCATAATGTGGATAGTGAGTATTATGAGATTGATTAAAATAGGAATGATCATGAACTTGTCCTGAACCACGTGAGGAAGTAAATCCAGATAAATCTGAATGACGTCTTTGATCAACAGACGGTAATAAGCGTTGATTAGCATAAGCATGAGAAGTTGAAGAAGGATATGGTGTATATCGATTTTGAACAACATCAAATGAAGATCGTCTCATTATATGATGTGGGAGATGAGATGACATATTATGAGAATTATGAGAATTATGAGAATTATGAGAACTATGAGAACTATGAGGAATATTATTAATATTATTATTAATAGATTCAGATTGTTGATGATGATGTTGTTGTTGTTGTTGTTGTTGCTGTCGATGATGAAAATGAGACTTTATCGGAGAATCTGAACGATAAGTTTCCGTTGTAAAAGCAGCAAATTGTTCTAACGGTTGATTATGATTCCAAGATTTTCGGGAATCCAGATTCCCATTTTCGCAATTTGTAATATGAGGTAAGTCGGAGTTAACATCCGATCTCAGATTAGGAGAAGAAGCAAAAGTTCTGATTGAAGGTAGTACAGGCCTAACTACCGGAGAATCCTGATTAAGGTGAGAACGCTTGGTCCAAACCTGATCCAAAAATCTCTCAGTTGTAGAGAAACCAACATCATTATTATGATATTTAAGGTCATTTCTTCTATTATTATTATTATTATTATCTTGAATAAGTGAAAGTTTTTCATCTTTTTCAATGGGAGAAGGAGAAAGTGGAGGTGAGGTATCAGGAGTAGAAGTCGCAACGCGAACGTTATGACAAGAACGTGGAGAATCCAATGATTCATTATCACCAAGCTGACTGGTTGTTGATATGTCATCCATGCTACTATCCCCATCGATAGAAGAGTCGTAAGCAGGAGAAGAAGTGGATGGTAAGTCGCATAACAGGCTTGAAATATCTAGTACAGAAGATTTTCTTCGTGGTAACGACGATAATGATGAATTAAGAGAAGGTCGTGTGGTGTTATTGCTATAGTTGATTCCGTCGATCACCTCATTAGACTCTTCTTCTTTATTCATTAACATTATCTTGTTACCATTACATTCCGATTTGGCGTGCCGCCGCGAAAGATCATGAGTCATGATAAATTGGCGCATCGATACAGATACATTCTTGGAGTTAATCATATCTTCCATGGCAATAGAAGGATTAATGCCATCTATGATGGTACTTTCACTGTGTAGGTGGACAGGCATCTTCGTCGACTTATTCGATGCTAATACCATGGAACGATTTATTTTTTAAAAAAAGGGTGATGATGTATTTTTTAAAAAAAAAAAAAAAAAAAAAAAAAAAAAAAAAAATAGGAGTCAAAATAAGAAATATCCAACAGTTTTTGGGAGAAGTTGGCGATTTGACGAGAATGAGAGAACCGAAGAATGAAAAATAATTTTATGATTCTTTTTTAAAAAAAAGATAAATCTTTCTTTTTTTTTTTGGTATTTTTTTCTTTTTTTTTTTTTTTTTTTTTTTTTTTCCGGCGAAAACGTAAAAAAAAAAGAATGGACGGTGTTTCGCGATAGTATTTTTTTTTTTTTTTTTTTTTTTGTAATTAAAAAAAAAAAAATGAAATGAAGTAACCCAAGAGTTGGACGTTTTGGACCAAAAATATTTTTTTGGAGGTATGAAATGGATGGAGAGATTTGAAAGGGAGCACTAAGCGTATTTATATAGAAGCGTGAACGGGAGAGATCCAATCTACAGCACACTATCAATCGCAATAACAAATGATAATAGTTATAATTTTTATAATTTAATTGACAATCTAATAAAATTATGTGTAACAAGTACCTTAAGTGTGAGTAATTATAATAATAATAATATATAAATAAAATAAAGAAAAAATACAGTATAAAAAAAAAAAATAATGTAGTGTGTGATAATAAGAAAATCATACATTAGTTAATTTATATTGTAACACGTGCTTCATATAAAAGTACAAACATGCATCGACATTAATTTTTTTTTTTAGGGGACGAGAAAAGTGACATTAAAAAAGGGGGTGCTTGATAATTGCAGGGGTGCATTTATCATCACCATAGGGATCAGGGTAAACAGGGAATATAATAGGATCATACCGAATATTCAACGGAAATATATTTTGCAGGAAAAAAAAAAATTGGGAACAAGTGAGAACAAATGTAAACGGTTGAAAAGACGAACGAATTATAAGAGAGAGATTATCGGAATATGCGGAAAATAAAGCGGAAAGAGAAAAAGGAACAAATAGGAGAAAGGATGAAAAAACAGAAATAAAACCGAGATCAAAAAAAAACATACCTCAGACCGATTATCAACTTTGAAAAAAGGAGGAAAGACTTTTTTTGGATTTAAATGATTAAAAAAATTAATATTATGAATTAAATACCATGAATTAAATACAGTGAATTACAGTGAATTAAATACAATGAATTAATACGATTAATACGATTAATACGATGCGAAACGTATCAATTGTACAGAAAAAATAACAATTTTAGAAAAATAAGCAAAGTAATAACAGGAGGTATTAATAGGGAGCAAACAAGTAATGCGATAAATCAAGTAGTAAATCAGAACATATAAAGTACGAATGATGTAGAAGTGATGCATAAAGACTAAAAGAAATAACAGATACGTAATTAAAAACAATTTAAATGAGAATTATTAGAAAACGAGAAATAAACATTGATGAAATTAAATCTAACACACCGCATAATATTACAATGAATGAATGATGGTGATGAATGATGATTAAAATGATGCATTGAAATAAAACCAAACTAAATCGCGTGAAATTATTGTGCGAAATCGATAGTTACATTACGTGATCATTAAAGACGATAATAACATATGAACAAGGGACGCGAAATCAATAATATTATAATATTATAATATTATAATAATATTGTTAAAAAAATTAATTCGCAATGATGTGAATATTTAATTGCCACAAAAGTTAATTCTTTTGTGTGAGATTTTTTTTCATGACTTACTTTTCAAAAGGAGATTTTATCAATTTGATCAAAAAAAAGAGAATGAAAAGATCGGAAAAATTCAATTAATTTGTTAAATTATTAAAATTAACGCCATCATAAGATTACTACTTACGTAATATAATATTTTTTTTTCACATATTTCAAATCTTTCAAAGATTTTAAAATATTTTATTTAAATAAATTATAAAATATTTTAAATATTTTAAATACAGTATTACAATATTACAATATTACAATATTACAATATTACAATATTACAATATTACAGTATTACAGTATTACAGTATTTTAAATAATATTTTCAAATACTTTAAATGATAAATTAATATTCAAATACTTGAAAAAAAATAGGTCAAATACAAAGTAACTATAATAAATAAATTGATACAATCAATTAATTCATCATAATAGACATAACAGATATACAGTATAATATAGTACTCTTAATATTGCTATATATAATATCAGATAGCATATTTTTGTTGATAATTGCATAAAATTAAAATGATTATAAAATGATCTTACACCTGTTGCAGGGAGGAATTAAATGGTTAATACCGGATTTTAAGCCGAATATAACGATAAATAAAATTAATCAACATATAAAAAAGTGGTGAAACACCAACGTCCGATTATATCTTTTTTGACATGTAAATAAAAAACCGGATACCATATAATTTAAGTTATTTAACGATGATAACATTAGTTTAACGCTGTGTCACCCTGTTTCATTAATCCTCTCACGAATTCCGATTACTCAGAGGGTATTAAATATTTGCCCGCCCATATAAAGTTTTACCAAAACAGCAAAAAAAGATTTGCGGTTTGTTGTTTATATTCAGAAACGTGTCCTTTTGGTTAACAAACTTTGTCAGAGATTATTATTAAGTAAAATAGTTTTTGTTTGTTTGTATATATCAAAATAAAAATAAAAAATAAAAAAAAATAAAAATGTGAATGAAATCATGTTGTTCTTAACTTTTTTATTATAAACTATGAAACAGTTTCTCACTTTCATCTATCAATATTACTGATTAAAGGATACTTTTTTTTTTAACATCTTAACATCTCTTCGTTAATATTGATAAAGTCTCGTCTAAATAACATCTCATTAATTAATAATTGATACATCATATACTACTATATACTACTGTACTATATAGATATATTATATATATTATATATCTATCATCTATCTATATATCTATCTATATATCTATATATCTATCTATATATATATTTATTAATTTTCTAATCAATCGTAATGATCATACTAATCGATCGGAGTTGATAAAATAGAACTGAAACATACATCATAAACATTAATCATAAATATTAATCAAAAATATTAATCAAAAATATTAATCAAAAGGTAGGTTTAAAATGAGAGTTAAAGATGTTTAATAATGTTTAAAAATTTTTTAAAAATTTTAAATTGCTTAAAATAGTTATTAATAGTTATTAGATGTTAATTAATCCTCCTCTTTCCCCTTTCATCAGAGATCCCTTTAATTATTAACGATTAACGGTCGGATGATTACTCGTGACATGATCGTTAATGTTTTCGAATGAATACTATCATTTACGTTAGTTTAAAAAAAAAAATCGAGTTTTGAATATTAGTTTAATATTTGATCATCCTTTCGCTATCTACTTCAGTACTACTGTATTCACTGTTTCAGCTCTTAAAAAACCAGTTTGGCTATGCTATGAAAAAAAAATCTTTAATTATATAATGTGAGTATATATAATGCGAGTATATAGTGTGAGTATAATGCGAGTACAGTATATAGTGTGAGTATATAATATGAGTATATAATGTAAGTATCTTTCAATCAATTATATTTCCCATGTATTTTTAATGTATTTTTAATGTATTTTAATGCTTTTTGGTAACTGATTTTGCGTTGGACTAATCTTTTTCGTGAAGAAATTGAAAAAATTGATGAAATTTTAAATTTGATAAATAATCATCTTTGATATGACGATGGGAAAGTCTTTCGCGAACGTATACATACAGTACATACTGTACGTGCTGTACGTACTGTAATACGTATAAGTGCATATAGGAAGTACTATGGTACTATAGTACTTACGTATACGTAGTGCATATAATACTATAGTGAGTATAATGCATATAGTTGATAGTACCATATAGTACCATCATACATATTACCATCATACATATAGTACCATATAGTACCATATAGTACCATATAGTACGTATAGAAGACCATAAGGGTATAAACTATAGTACGCACGTATAACACGTATAAGATGATCACCACATAATTCAGTAATTCACATAACTTTTTCCTTACATCACATAATTCTTTCCCTTGGAATTCCCAAGAACTTTCTTGAGTTAGGCTCAACATATAAAAGTGATTACTTAATATTACTTAATCGTGTGATAATATATTCTTGATTAATGGTAATCTTTAAATGATTCATTCATCCTTTTTATCACTCACTTTCTCTTCACGTTACACTCACATTATTACGTTCACTCACTCATTTTCTTTCCACGTTACACTAGTTCTGAAAAAGTATTTCTGAAAGATGGCTAGAAAATTGTTCAAGAAAAATCCTGTTCTTCAAAATTTCCTGGTTAATAAAAAATAAACACTTTTTTACTGTCAAATAATGTCAAATAATGAGAATAATTGCATATTATGCAATTCCTGTTTCCGTAATTATTGGTTCATTGTTGCCAATTTATCCAATTTATCCAATTTATGGGTTGTTGTCACATTCGATCCCGGTAATGGTTATATTTCATTTAAGTATGTTTACATATCGATATAGTACAGTAGTATACGTAGTCTTTTTTCCTGATGATGATGATGATGAAATCTGACTACGTAAATATCGACATAATATTCTATATATATTATATAATATTTTGTATGTTGATCTATGGTGATACGAATAAGCCGCGTGTCACTCACATAATATAAATTTAGGGTGAATATCAAACGGCACCTCATTTTAATTTTTTTTTTTTATATACATAAATATAATCTTTTAATATACTGGTATATATATATATATATTTATATTAATAATACTAAAAGAATTTATTTCTTTAAAGATCTTCAGTAAAACATAGATCTAGTATACAGAATATCCTGAATGTAGTAAAAATTAAGTCAATTGAAATCCCGATTGTTTGTAACATTCCTGATACGGTCTGAATGCGATTTTCTATTGATACA